GCCGCTGCTCCTCCACGTCGAGAGGAGCCAGTTGAGGTGGCTCGGGCATCTGGTAAGGATGCCTCCTGGACGCCTCCCTGGTGAGGTATTCCGGGCACGTCCCACCGGGAGGAGGCCCCGAGGAAGACCCAGGACACGCTGGAGGGACTATGTCTCTCGGCTGGCCTGGGAACACCTTGGAGTTCCCCCGGAGGAGCTGGAAGAAGTGGCTGGGGAGAGGGAGGTCTGGGCCTCCCTTCTGAAGCTGCTGCCCCCGCGACCCGACCCCGGATAGGTAGAAGAAAATGGATGGATGGATGGATGGAATTATTTATTCTCAAAAAGGTCTTAACAACTATTTTATAATATTTTATTGAAATTGAAAACTTTGATTATTTTGTTAACAATTTTTGTCCAAAAAATTCCTTCAAGGATTTCAGGATAAAACTGTTTTTTTATTTAAGTTGATTTAAAAAAGGTAATAATGGTTCATAACTTTTCAATAACGTCAAGCTAAAAGATCTGAACTATTCTTTTAGGTCAGGGCTGTTAAACTGGTGGTCCGGGGGCTGGTGACTTCCATCCGGCCCACAAAGAGGGTCCCACCCAACATCCAAAAAATAAATACATAAATTGGGCAAATTTTTAAAAATAATTTAATACAAAAACATTTTAAAACAACTTTAAGTTTAAAATGTATGATGCAATACAACACAATAAAATAACGTAAAAGGTAAAGAATAACCGTTGTTCTGTTACACACTGCATTGTGTCACCCATCATTAATGGGTAATGCCCCCCACCCACCCCACCCCTGTGAGTTGTGGCCCTCTCCATGTTGTATTGCCATCTGAAAATGTAAACTGCTGGAATTAAAATCAGGCACTTTTCTGGATCTGAAGTTATTTTTGACAAAGACACTTGACCTTGTGAAAGTGCCACGCCACTGTTTAATAACAGTCAAGTAAAAAAATTACATGGATGAACCCAGTCAAATGAAAGGCAATTTATAAACGTTCTCTACTTTTATAATTACACTGAAGTGACCAAGGGAGGCTAAAAAAGATCACTAATTGTCCTAATTGTGGTTGAAAATGCCTGGCAGTCTTCACTGTCTCAAAGAAAAGTGAAATAAAAAGGAACAAAAGAGGAATAATTGTAAACAAAAAATATATATATAAATAATGAGACGAAGGTCAGAACGCTGAATAGCAAATGAAAACAGAGAAAAAGTGGAACTAAAACCAAAATACCTCCGCCTGAAGTAAAACATGTCGACAAAACATCAAAGCTGAACCTTTGCCTTGAGAAAACGAACGCATTATAAACAGAAAAAAAAATCACAGGAACTTTCAGTATGCACACATCAGGTGAAACTGACCCTTTGAAAACAAAAAAGCTTTTGAAAGATTCTCCCATCAACTGAAAAACTGAGGAATTCTGCTTTCCATACTTCCCATTCAGTCATTTACAGGAGGACAGACGGCGTGTCTGATGATGTCATTCTCAGCGATGCAGAGCTGAGTTTGATCTGTTAATGTTCAAAAATCTGACGCTTTGTTGTGTCGTGTGTCGTTCAGGACTCGGGTCAGAAAGGATGAGCTGAAGATGGGGGTGGGGGGGCAGAAAAGGGGACACAAGGACACAGAGAACTAATAAAATCTTTGCATTTGATGAGGAGAAGATTGGAAAACACAAACAATATTAGTGTTTCATTGAAAAGACACAAAGTCCCTGTTAGGATTGTGAGGAAGAGGAGGACCGGGAGACAGGAAAACGCTGGTGTCCTGACACATGAAATCCCCGTTTATCACTGGAAATGCTGTGATCACAGTCCTGCAGCTGTCAGGGGGAAAAAAAGTGACTCTGATCAGACAAATCTGCAGCCGTTGGATCAAAACATCACAGCAGTGATGACAAGATTTTAATCCTGCAAGCCGAAATTTCTTCCTTTAACGTGTCAATATTTTCATCCAAAATCTGTTTGAAACATCAGAAACATGTTTTTAACATTAGTTTTCGTTTTACTTCTTTTTCTAATTGAAACATCTTACTTTAGGGCTGCAGTGGTAGTTTCCCACCACACATATAACCTCCATAAGATGATTGTTTTTTAACCTAACCCTGCTTTAAACTTCTCAACAACCTCATTTCTGACCTGTCTGCTGTGTTACTTGGTCTTCTTGATGCCGTTGGATCAATAATTTTATTTAAAGGGGATAGATCGTGCAAAAAAAATCCACTTTTTAAACCCTTAAATTCGTTTTGTTGTGTACTTGGTGAAGGGGTGCAGAAAATTAAAATTTAGTCTCTTCCAGTGCTGCAAACATATCTTTATATTCTGTTTGTCTCAAATTTATCAAACTAAAAAGGACCGATCTGAAAGCTGGAGGGAGGCGGGGTGAAGCGCCTCCTTTGGATTTAAAGAGGCAGCCTCAAAACAAGTTGATGTGAGACACGCCTCAGAAAAGGGGCGGGGCTTGTGGAGTTCCAGTCAGGAGGAATGCAGACCAAAGCGTTGCAGTTCCACTTTATAAAGACCCGAACTGAAAGGTTTAAAAACAGGATGTGTCAGCTCTAACAAACCTCTCAGCAGCTGCGTTTATGCTGAAATTAAAATACACACAGGTGGACTTTATCCATTTGGGGACTTCTGAAGGCAAATGCTTGCACTGGATTTTAGTGAGAGCTTTCAAAATAAAAGAGGCTGAATATAAACACAAGCCACACTTTTCAGAACTTTATTTTTAAATGAAATAACAAAAAAATTATATTATTTTCCTTTTACTTACGCTGCTTGTTGATCTGTCAGGTAAAATCCAAGTCAAATAATTTCAATTTTGAGGTCATAACGTGACAAAATATGGAGCCGGATGGCCCAAATGCAAAAATCAGAGCTTGGTGTGGAAACACCAAATGAGTAGTCATGAAATCATCAAGATCAGCAGGAAAACAGGGAAAAAACAGAATTAGAGCTGAGAACGTTTGGTCAAACTGAAGCCAGGACAAAGATCTGGAGATGAGTCTTTTATAAAGCTCCACATTAACACAAACGCACAGAGTCGGACCATTTTAGGTCTGTGTGTGAGAGATAGTCCTGGTCCTGCTCAAGCTCAGCTCTGCAAACAGAGTTGGAGTTTAGTTTACATTTCAGACAGACAGATGCAAGGAGAAAATCTGTGCACTTTGTTTCTCTTTTGTTAAACTCAGGTCTGAAGGAATGCAGATCGGTGTGGGAATGTGTAAACGCACGTGCACGGAAACATGCTCCGTTACCCTGCACAGATTCCCACACTCGCGGAGGCGGAGACCCACTTGGAGGCGGTTTTTCGGCTTCAGCAAAGCGTGACGCCGGAGTGTTGTGTGCAGTGGTGTGGACAGATGTTGTGGAGCAGTCGAACAGGAAATTTGAAACTGCGTATAACTTGAGTTGACATTCATGACTCCACTTACGGCTTTAAAAGTGTTGAAACTTTCAGATGGTGGTGGTTTTGTTACTAAAGTTGTGCAAAGAAAAAAGAACTACAATTGTTTAATTTTAGTTGTGTAAAGATGCAGGTTTATTAACAGAATAAGTAATAAGTTGTTTTTGATCTGATGTCAATTGTGAAATGACCTGTCAATCATTTCTTTATGTTGTAAAAACTACAGTCAGTCCGAGCATTATATTAAAAAAACATATCAGTTACATATTTAAAGATTTCTTCTCATTTTATTGTGGCGGCTGCTAATAAACATGTAAATATTTCGTTTTAAATCATTTTGTGTTTTTGTTTTCCTTCATTGATGGTCTGAAATATAAATGTAAAGCAATTTACTCAACTTCGTTTATTGGAACCAGTTGACATAACTTGGTTAAGCAACAAGAAAAAAAGATTTACTTCATTACTTTAAGGTTTAGTAAATTCAACACTTCATTTTTACAGTGTGTAAAAGTACTTTTAATTTCCTGACTATTGTGAGCAGTTTTATGACTTTTACTTAAATACTTTTATCAGTGAAATTCATTTTTACTAAAGTCATTGTCTGTGAAGGTATTTTTACTTCTTAGTTTTTCTTTTTTTTCCCAAACACCTCTGGTTTCTAACAACTCATGATGAGCATTACGCTATTTCTGGTCCTCCGTGTTCTCCTCGTACTTTTTGTGATTATTCATGAGGTTTGTCTGAATAATTAGCTGCTTTCACAGCATTTTTTAAGTTAAGTTAGTTTTTGAGCTTCATGTGCTAGTTTGAATTCTTAGGATTAACCTCCTGTCAGCAGTGAGCTGTGGTCCTCACGGCCCTGTATGTTCTTCTTCATCTTCTTGATTCCTTTTTTGGTGGATGGCAAACAACTGAAAGGTGCATTACCGCCACCTGCTGGTGTGGAGTGTAAAAAAGCTCCAAAAAAAAAAAAAAAGGCAAAAACTATATTCTTTGAAATAATCGAGTTTGTTTCAAGTATTGTATTAAGGCTTGGGTATTTTAAGATTTTGAATTATTCTGTAATATAAGATCTAATCTTATTTTCATTTCAATGAGACTGTTAGTTAGTTGATTTCTTTCATTTCTGTATTTTTGGCAAAGTATTAATACATGTCCTCATCTTCTCCACAGTACTCACATTTTCCTGTATTATGTTTTCTTATAACACAATGCTTTATTTAATCCAGTATGTCCAAATCTGAGACGTGATATAACTGTTTCCTCCATTCTGTTTCTTCCAGTGCTCCTCATTTCTCCCATTTTCCGTTGAATTCTATAAAACCATCAACCTTTTCTTTCTTCCTCCCACTGTTTTTGCCATGTTTCTCTCATTTTTAGCTTTAAAATGTTTTTTAAATCTGATTTACTGAATTTTATTTCTATTTCGACTACATTGTTTTTGTATTTTTTGCTACCTTGTCTGCTTTTTCACTGCCCTGCATGTTAGAGGTTTCCCTGCTTTAACACCTGGTTCAGGTGACTGCAGCTCAACAGCCTGTTAATCATGTATTAATTGAAATCAGCTGTGTTGAAGCAGGGAAATGTCTAAACCATGCAGGGCTGTGTGCTTTGAGGACCACTGCAGTCCAGAAACAAAGCATCAGTAAGTCAGTGCATCTCAGTTATTTATTTTTCCATAAACTGTACCTCTTCACTCTCTCTCTCTCTCTTTTCCGTGTCCTGTCTGGAAATGTGAAACTCAGAATTGATGTCTGCGTGTCCAAATGAAGCCCAACAGTTTGACTTTCACAGGTGCAGCATAAAGGCATTTATATTGAAACCTTTATTATAAATTATTTTGGGATTAATTCGTAACGTGTCCATTACGTCTTCACTCTCTCATGTTATTTTATACCAACAGATATCACAAACATGGACGTGATGTTGAAGCTAACTGAGCATAATTTTAGCTTAGTTTAGTTTATTTCAAACATGTATACAAAACAAAACAAAAAATGATAAAAAGTGATAACAAAATTAACGTATTTGAAAAGGAATGGGAAGAAGTCAAAAACTTATTTAATCCCACCCTTCTCCGAAGCTTATTAACAAAAAAATAGTAAATTCTTCTTCTTCCTTATTCTAAGTTACAATTTCATAAACATTAAAACAACAATCTGTTCACCTAGAATTTTATATGATACCAGAATATATTCATAAATGTAAATGTACATCTACAGGTGCTGGTCATAAAATTAGAATATCATGAAAAAGTAGATTTATTTCAGTAATTCCATTTAAAAAGTGAAACTTGTATATTATATTCATACATTACATACAAACTGTTTGTAACTTTTCTTTTCTTCTGTCTGCAGGATCCTGTTTACCAATTGATGTGCCACATGAAAGAGTCGACCTGCAAGATGGTAAGTAGGACAAAACAAGGAACCCTGTGTGTGAAACTTGTTTATGCAGTTTCTGTCCCAAAATGTGGCTTTAGGAAATGTCATGGAATTTCTCCAGTCAAAGGATACCAGGATTAACCAGCAAGCTAAGGA